GATTTCTTCCTACGATTAATTTTCTTCCATTTTAATATTATCCAACCACTCCTTTTATATAAATAAAACTGTTCTTTTGAATAAGGCATTCTCTTACAAAGGCATATTCCAGTCAACAGTCCCATCCTGCCCAGTCTCAGTAGTTAAATTTTCCTGCTTGAATTAAGGTCTCTATTTCATTTTCTTTATAACACATTCGTTGTTGTTATTCAGCCATTTTTCAGCCATCTTTGACTCTCTGTGACCCCATTTAGGGTTTTCTTGGCAAAAATACTGGAGTGGTTTGCCATGTCCTTCTCTAGCTCATTTGAAAGATGAGGAAACTGAGACAAACAGGGTTAAGTGATTTGTCCAGGATCACACAACTAATAAGTGACTGAGGCCAGATTTGAACTCAGGAAGATGAGTCTTCCTGACTCTTGACTTCCTGATACAGATATTCTCTTCAATGAATTACTGCTCCTCTCTACTGTTATTCTTTTCTGTGGTATCTGGCCTGACAGATACATGTAAACAATTAATCCCTCACTTTCCATTTACAGTTGAAAACCTTCTTGATCAGATTCACAGGACTCTAGGCAAAAAAAAATTTTTTTATCTGTATTTTGATGCACTTCATCTCTGGCCAAGAACTCATCATTCCTAAATCTTAAGTGGTGGTCCAGAAATACAAATCTCACTCTCAGATAACATCTTCTCAACCAGCTGTTGACTAAATCTGCTTTTCTCTTCTGAAGCCCTCCCCTTTCAATAAATGGACCTCCTCAGCAAGGAATTTTTCTGCTTTCCAATACTGGATATCCTATCCTTTGGTGGTCCCTGTGGGTCTGCCTTATTATTTTGTGCATTATCATTATCAAGTTGTCTCCTTTTTTATGAATGCACCTATAACCATCTCTGACAAGAGTTTTGAGTTTATTGTGTAACTCCAACAATCCACTGGTCCTTTTTTTTTTTAATCATTTCTTCTCTGTGTCACATTTTTCCATCCTGTAAATTCCTAACAGAGGCCAGGATCTCCGTCTGCCCCTCCAGTTTCATATCCTTTGAAGCCCTCTTTAATTCTTTACTGGAACATTTCATTCTCTTCCCTAATATACTGGAAAATAGAGGCGTTCCTCTCACCTTTTCACCTTCTTCTCTCATGATGAGACCAATCTGTATTTTGTGCATACATCACTATGATTTGTCACTAACAAAAACAACGTACCCTCTGTAGGTTACTACAAAATCTCACTCGCCCTCCATACTTGCTAGAAGGGAGTTCCTCAGTCCTCTGTCATTGTTGTTGCTAACTCTTACAGCAAAATGTCTTTCCCATGTGTTCACCTCACTAGGGACTCTTGAGAAAGACTTTTCTAATTTATTTATTTATTTACTTCCTGCCTTTTCTCATCATAAGGTCTTGGCTAATCAAAGCCCTAGCCCATGACAAATGATCTTACCTAGCTACTCAAAACTCAGTCTTTTCCAATAATCGGGAGCCCTACCGCAGCCAATGACTCCTTTAACACTATGGATAATTGAGCCAGAGCCAAAGTATGTCTAATCTCCAGAAAGCTACCTTTCTAGAGTCTCTTAACTCATTACCTTGTGTCTGGTCACAAAAATCTCATGGCTAATTGGAGGATGCTGAACTACCTATTATACTGGAACTTGTCACCCCAGGAGGACTTCAAATATCTAATGAATAAAGTTAGCCAAAAACAGATTTAAACATTGCTTTTTTTTTTCTTTTTACTGATTTCTTCCCAGGATAAAAGTGGAGATATGCATCACAGAGTATTAAGATTGATGAATAACACAGTAATCATAGAAGTGTTAATCCTCTCATTTTACAGATGAAAAAACCGAGAGAACCTTGATGACTTGCCCAAAGTCACAATGTTAGGGTCATAACTGGAACTAGAGTCAGGTGACTCCCAGTTGGTCAGTGATTTGATGGCATTTAATGTGATAAAAGAGTCTCCATTCATTCATGAAGTCACTTCTTACAACTCTAAGATTTGAAATCCTGAGATAATGACTCAACAAACATTTATGTAAGCATATGTCAAGTACAAAACACCTACAGGGTGGTGGTAAGGGAGATACAAAGTTTAGGTTTTTGTTGTTGTTGTTGTTGTTTTTAGTGGGAGCTGGGAGAAGACCCTAGCAGACTGGATCCTTAAATGGCTTATGAATATTCTCCAACAACTCTTTTAACATGGAGTATCCCTGGGCAGCTGGGTGGTGTAGTGGATAGAGCATTGGGCGTGGAGTCTGGAAGTTCAAATCCAGCCTCAGATACTTACTAGCTATGTGACCCTGGGCAAGTGGCTTAATCCCTATTTGCCTCAGTTCCTCATCTGTAAAATGGGGACCCAACAGAACAGGAAAAACCATTCCAGTATCTTTGCCAAGAAAACCGCGTGGACAAAGTCCATGAGGTCATATAAAGCTGGACACAACTGAATAATAACAACAACTTCCTTGTTAAGTAGTTTAAGATCCACTACTCTAAACCACACCTCAGGTTAATGTGCCCTCTACTTTTTTCCACTGTAAGCAGATGGTCAAAGCAAAAAAAGGAAGACCAAGCATACAAGTATAAGTTTTCAAGTTGAAATTAAATAAAGCTAACCAAGTTAAACTGGTATATATGTATATGTATACCAGTTTATATATATATTATATATATAATGATGTGCATACCCATCAAGTTGTAAGCAAACAGGGAAGAGCTTCCCAAGATGGACAGGCACAGAGAGGCTGCAATCTTCATCGTTGGAAGGACAGCTACATCAGTGAGACCACAGGTCCCCTGTGGCCACACAGTACATATGTTCATTTTTTTTTTTTTTTTGGCTTTTTGGTGAGGCAATCAGGGCTAAGTGACTTGCCCAGGGTCACACAGCTAGTAAGTGTCAAGTGTCTGAGGCCGAATTTGAACCCAGGTCCTCCAGACTCCAAGGCCAGAGCTCTATCCACTGCACCATCTAGATGCCCCCATATGTTCATTATTGTACCCATGTGTTATCTGTTTACATATCGTGTCTCCCTCTGTTATACCCTAAGTAGAATATAAACTCTTTGAGAGCGGGGACTATTTAATTTTAGTCTTTACCTTTAGTACAGAAGTAGCTTAATGAATGCTCGGTGGATTGGATTAGATGGGGGAATTCAGCAGAAATGGTCTGGAAGGCCCCAGATCCACTTCACCTTCTTCACAGTTTGACCCCAAGTCCAGACCTGCTGGAGACAGCATCATTCTGAGCCCACCCCAGTTCCCAAGGACCAAATCTCCTCACACAACAGCAGCCATGATAGGCACAGTTGTGCCCTAGACTAGAACACTGCATTGAAGCCTAGAGGAATAAAAACCTAGAGTCAAGGTCATCAAGTGAGAGACCAGTCAAATCCCAAAGGTTTGGTCCCAAATCCCAACATTGGGAGGATTATAGAATACGGAGAGGAGTTCCGTGGAGAATACCAAAACCAGAGGCACTGATGACCCTCATAGGGTCATAGCCTAGGCATTCTGGGTCAGACTCTCCCAGCTGACCCGCAGCTATGACCACAGGCGGGGAAAGCAAAAACAAGACAGATACTGTGGTCAAATAGTTAAGCTTTTTACTACCGTGGCCAACTGGAGAAAGGTGATATTTCTGTCTCCCTTAGCCCTCGAACACCTTCCCCTAAATTAAAAGTGCAAAGTTCTCAAAAGAGGCCTACAATTCATCAAGCAGCTCTAAATTCCTTTACACATTCTAATTCTGGCCTTGGAGCACATCACGATTAGAGGAGTTTTTTACCTCTGTAAATTGTCATAGAAACAGGAATGAACCTCTGCTGTGAAGAACAATTTAAGTAGCTCTCTGGGGAGGAGGAGCATTTGTTAATTGTGAACTTACCTAATCTCAAATAAAGGGGAAGGTAATTGTGAAGCGTAGTTTAATTAATCTTTCAAGAGAAAACGTCTTCCTTTGAAATAATAGCCAGCGTGGGTTGGAGAAAAGGGAAAATGAGGGGAAACAGTAAAGAGCATTACGTGGTGCCTTGAGGTCTGAAAAGTGCATCACATTTGATTCTCACAATGATTAATAATAATAATAATATTTATGTAGTACTTAGTATGTACCAGGCACAATTATTAGCTGATTTGATTTTCACAACAACCATAGGATTGAGGTTGGTGTTATATTTATGCCCATTTTATAGATGAGAAAAGTGAAGATGAGAAAGGTTAAATGACTTGCCCAGTCACAGAACTAGTGAGTGTCTGAGGCAGAATTTGAACTCAGGTCTTCCTGACTCTAAGTCCAACCCGGAACTTAAGAATCGGAAGACCTGGGTACTAATCCAGTTGTCCTACTAGCTGTGTGACCTTAGGCACCTCAGCTCCTCTGGTGGTGATGGTCATAACCAGCAGCGTGGTAGAGCAGATAACTGAGGCAGCCTTGAACAGATAAAGACCTGGGTTCAAGCCACACCTCTGACCCATACTGGTTGTGTGGCCCCAGGCAAACTCTTTCCTTTGCAGAGAAGGTGCTGATCTCCATTGGTCAAGAGAATTCCCTTACCCGGGAGCTCCCTGTACCAAGGACATCACAGGTCCAGTTTCAGTCTCTTGATAATTTAAGCCCAGCCCTCCTCCCAGCCTTGGAGATAAGTATTAACATTTTATGTTCTTATGGCACTTCATGCTTTTCAAAACACTTTCACATACTCTTTTCAGGTTCAAAATAATACTGCGAAGTAAAAAGGATAGGTACTAGTTTCAGTTTACAGATGGGGAAGCTGTGACTCTGAGAATTTAAGTAATTAGTCAGTGCTCACACACCAAGCAGTGGTAAAGCAAAGATCCTGGTCCACTGATGCTCCATGCAATACTCTTTCTGTTGTACTAAGTGACTCAAATGGGACATCAAACTATGCAAAGAGATAGTCCGGAGAAAAATAATCCAAGAAAAAGGGGGCACTTTCCACCAGAATCATTTAAAAAAAAAAATAAAACCTACCAATGAGTAGAGGTGATGGTAAGAGACATTGGGACTGAAGGCCTGAGCAGAGCGGGTACAAACTTCTCTGGACTCAACTCCTAAAATCAAAAAACAAAAACACAGAATAAGTCATCACCACACTTGGTATTTTTCCCAGGCGTATTTCAGATGCTGCATTCTGCTTAAGTTTTTAAAAAAGGATTACTGCTGGAGTTTGACAGCAAAAAAAAAGATGGCAATTGTAGCAAAACTCTTTTCACAAAATTACATTTTGACTAAGAATTTGCATTTTCATACAGAGTCATTGGTACAAGTGGAAATAAGCAACTTTCTATGCACTCAGGGGAAGGTTCCCCATTCACACAAACTTGAGTACTAATTAACACATGAACAAGAAGTTTCTTGCTATACCCTTTAGAATGTAAGCTCCTTAAGGACAGGCTCTTTCACTTTTTTTTTGCTGTAATCCCAGCACTTAACACAGTGCCTACCATATAGTCAGCACTTAATAAATGTTATTGATTAAAGGATCTTTGGAGAAGGTATATCTGAAAATAGAATCTGCCTTTATTCAGCACCACCTGTAATTTGAAAATTGCATGTATCCCCCAAGTCATTTGATAGAAAGGAACCAACATAGACACATTCACCTTGATCCCAATTTGGATGCTTTAGGGCAAAAGATCATGGTGACTATATCTCTTCCCTATGAATCTCCCACTAGGCCCCTGTCTCTTTGCCTTCCTTGCCTTTTCCTTAGAGCTGGTACTGCCTTTTGCTATGCCTTCAGGAGAAGAGAAAACCATTGATTTAGCAAGAACAGAGGAACAGAGACAGCAAACTATTATTGTGTAAAGAGGACAGAATCAAAGGATCCTACCTCCAATACTTCCAACCAATGTGACCTTGGGCAAATCACTTAACTTCCCTGGGCCTCAGTTTCCATGTCTGTAAAATGAGGCTTATATACTCTTCCAACATATTGGCATGGACCCATATTACTATGGGAAAGAGAGGGCATTTGAAAAGACAGCTTGGTGGCATCCATGTTAATTTCTTTATCAGTTATCTGCATCACTGATACTCACAGTTGGTCCTGTGCATAGGCTAGAAAGGACCTTTAAAGATCATCCGATCCAATACTTTCATTTTAGAGGTGAGAAAAGCCTGGCTCCAAATGGTCAAGAACTTACCCAAGATCCAACAGCTAGTTTGTCCAGAAACCAGAGAGAAATAGGAAGTAGGGCCCAATATTCTTTCCACCTAATACTAGTCTGGATACTGTGGAAAACTGGCATGACCATATTAAACTTCATAAGGTCTTTTATTAAAAGGAAATATAATACTCTTGAGGTGTCCAACCCTGCATATTCTATAATACTTTCTTTGAGTGGAAAACAAGATCCCCATTGGAAAAGCTAACTAAATTGTTCTGAGTTTCCCTAAAGGTTTTTTTCTTAACAAGAAGCTTTCCATGAATCCCTCAGTTTAAGTATAGTAATGTTTCAAAAATCTTACAAACCTGAAATTGGATTAAATACTTTGGTCAGATTTTCACACTAATTTTTCCATATTCTTTGTTGCCATCTGGTCCATTGAATTCTGGAGTTAAATCAATTACCAGGTCCCCAAACTCCCACCCCAAAAGGAAAAATGTTTGCAGATGGTATAGAAATTACAGCAAATGAGATTACTGATCATTTTGAGCTGGAAGGGAACTTAGAGGTCATCTACTCCAATGCTTTTCATTTTATAGAGGAGAAAACGAAACGTGAAGAAAATTGTCCAGGTTCACATAGGTAAGAGATGTTTTTATTGTTTAGTCGATTAGCCCTGTCTGACTCTTTGTGACCCCATTTGGGGTTTCTTGGCAAAGAGACTAGAGTGGTTTTCCATTTCCTCCTCCAGGTCATTTGACAGATGAAGAAACTGAGGCAACCATGGTTAAGTGACTTGCCCAGGGTCACAAAGCTAATAAGTGTCTAAGGCTGGATTTGAACTCAAGTCCTCTTGACTCCAGGGTCAGAGCTCTATCCACTGTGCCACCTAGCTACCCAAGAGGTATTAGAGCTAGGTTTTGAACCCATGTCCACTGAATCCAGAGCTAGAACCATTCCTACTATACTAATGATGAAGTCACCACCCCAGGTCATAAGATCATAAATTTAGGACTGAGAAGGACTTAGAAATCATCTAGTATCTGCCCCCCCCCCCCAATTTTATGGCTGAGGAAAGAAGTCAATGTTACTTCCCAAGGTCATACAAGTAGAAATTAGTAATAACATTCTTTCCATTGCATCCCATTGAGATGAACTCTAAGGAACTTCTGGTCTTACAAACCAAGGTAGTTATGCTTCAGGCAAAAGTACAGATCTTCCTTTCAGTGATCTCAGCCCTCCTACCACTTATAGCCCTTCCCTCACTCCTGAAGACTTACCCAGACCCATGATTTCTCCAAGAGCACTTTGACAGTAGACTAGACAAATGGCAGTGACTGCTCAATCAGGAAAGGTTCCTTTTTTCTTTTTAGGCAATTGGGGTTAAGTGACTTACCCAGGGTCACACAGCTAGTAAGTGTCAAGTGTTAATGGTTCCATTTTTCAAGACTTACATCCAAAGGATCCTGCAGAGCCTATCCTGGTCAATCTCTCACTAAAATTCTGCATGAGGCCTTTACTGACCTCAGCCAAAGAGTCACACAGTTGGAAACTGGTTACCCAGTGAAAAGATTACTAAAAGAAAGCCAAATTCTGAGTAATTGAAAAAAATAATTGTCCCAGAGAATAGATAATGAAATATACCTCCCTCTCTTGGCAGAGAATTGGGAGAAGGGCACAGTGATTAGGGCAGAATGTCTTATACCTTGTCATTGTTTTTCCTTAGTTGTTTTGTTATTATTGTTGTTATAAGGAAAGGTTGTGGAAAAAGGGGAGAGAGACAGAGTATATATCCATAAAGTAGGAAGGAAGGAAGGAAGGAAGGAAGGAAGAAAGGAAGGAAGGGAGGGAGGGAGGGAGGAGGAGGGGAAGGAAGGAAAGGAAGGAGGGCAGGAGGGAAGGAGGGATGGAGGGAAGAAGAGAGCTGATGCCTTGATAGTGGGGTGGCATGAACCTGGTCATCCATGCTATGACCCACATATTCAAGAACCTGCCACAGAGTGGCACAGTACAAAGTGGCACTGTAGGCACTACGGTCAGGATGTAATCAATGGTGATCTTGAACTCTGTCGTTGACTGTCAAGAACTCAATGGGATGAAACAAGGCAGTGTTCTGAAATGTGATGGGGGCTAAGCTCTGATTACAAAAGATGAGCTCATCCTGATGGCCACACTGGGCTTTGCTTATACTGAGGAATCAGGACATGTTGCTGCTACTTATCCAGCAGAACAGGTCAGGAAAAACGGGACAAGCTCCACCCTGACTGAACTAACAGAGGTTCAGTCAAGGCCGTCAAGGCATACCTTCATCCATCTTGCCAGGGAGTGAAACTCAAGATCAGCCAAGACAGATTCTAGGGCCTCATTCAACTTCATGAACCTCAAGTGCACCCCAAACCTGGGAAATTCCCCATATTCCAAAATTCTCTCCAACTCCCTACCCCTCGTAGAAACAACTGAAGCAACTTCCTTCCCACTCATGAGACTTTGATACTGGTCGCACTACAGCCCCTTCCAACTCATTAAGAACAGAACTGAGGGGCAGCATGAGATAACAAAAGGAGCCTTGGATTCGACTCCAAGGAAACGGGTTCTACATAGTATCATACACAGATCTAGAGTTAAAAAGGAACCCAGGGTCCATCTAATTCAACCCCCTCCCCCATTTTACAGGTGAAGAAATTAAGATCTAAGTTCAAATCCTGATGCTGCCATTTGATTCCCCATATGTCCTCAGGCAAGTTGCCCTACCTCTCTGGACCTCACTTTGCCCATGTGAAAATGTAGGGTTGGACTAGTTGGTGTCCAAGGTTCCCACTAATTCTAAATTCTGTGACATGATGGGATGATGATCATTACCTGCAGTCAACAAAGGACCACATTTCTTCTGCTGCCCTGCTGAATAGTTTGTCTTCTAGCAGCATCCCAATGTAACTCAGATAATTGTGCCAGATTAGCACCAGCTGACACCCAGCAGTGCCCCTCTTCTGATCCTTGGAAGGAGAAGCACAGAGCCAGACAAAGCCCTGCAGTTGCCTATAAGACACTACAGTCTCTAGGATGTCTTCCAAAAAGAGAGGGGGAACCAAGACTATTACCTGAGCTGGCCATCTGACTGCCCAGACTGTCCATATGGTACTCAGAGTTTTCTTAGCCAGATCTACTATCTCTTAGACATTGGCTTGAAAGTGTCAGGAGAGTTACTCTGTGAAAACACAACTTAATTTTTAAGGGTTTAATCTGCCTCTTGGAATCACTAATTGGGGCTCCCATTTTCTTTTGCTAATAAAAAAAAAAAAACATAGGACAACACCATTGCACCAAATTCCAGAGTCCTTCATTAGTCTGCAGTAAATGATAACCATCCTTTGGATCTCATCCTAGAACAATTTAAACTGTTTCAGAGTATACAAGGTTCATAAAATTTGATTTGTAAAGAATTTCTAATCCAATGAAGATCAGGGGAGGGGGGAGTCTTTCCATTATATCACACTGTTGTTGTTGAGTTGTTTTTCAGTCATGTCTGACTCTGCATGACCCCGGTTGGGGTTTTCTTGGCAAAGATACTAGAGTGGTTTGCCATTTCCTTCTTCAGCTTATTTTACAAATGAGGAATTGAGGCAAACAGGGTTAAGTGATTTGCCCAGGGCCACATGTCTAATAAGTGTCTGAGGCTGGTTTTGAACTCAGGAAGAGGAGTCTTCCTGACTCCACTGCACCATCTAGCTGCCTCATGCCAAAAATCTAAGAGTTAGAACATTAAGAAAGAAATATGCTTTTCAGGTTATTTTTTTTTTGCTTAAAACTTTAACATTTTTAAAAAATTTTAAGTTCCAAATTTTCTATTTCCTTCTCCTCCTTAAGATGGCAAGCAATTTGATATAGGTTATATATGTGCAGTCATGCAAAACACATTTCCATATTAGTCATGCTACAAAAGA